AACATTTAACATCAGCGCCAGCATGGGCTTCCACAACAACATAAATATAACGTGCATGCCATATCAAAAGCAGCCACCACACACACACACACACACACACAAAGCAGCCACCACACAAAAGCCATGCACCATGCCAGCTGTGGCATAGAAGGGGCTAAAAGGGAGTCACCATCTAATACGAAGAATAATAAATACCACCTCTCGACAAGCATAAAACATCACCCTCCTATCCTCCCCAAACTTGGCCAAAGCATCTGCCATCGAGTTAGCCTCTTGAAATATGTTTTCAAATGTTGATAATGATTACTTGAAATTTTAATTTTTTCCATTATTCAATTGTATAACAATTATACTAATGATAATCATTTTTAAATTTTTATAGAAAATCTATGATTCTGCATTACTACAAAAATATGATGAAAATTAATTCTCTCAGTCGGAGTTTGAGCAGCAAGTTTAGACTTAAGAACTTGGATGGGGTGCAAAATCAGTCGTACTCACATGTGTAGGTTTTGGATACGAGGATGCTTGCAACAACTTTACATGCAGCACGCATCGTTGCACCAACGTTTGAGTGAACATTTGGTCCTTCCACTGCAAATGCTTCCCATCAGGATCCTCTATACGAGAGTGTAGAGTCTTGAGGAACTTGTACTAGAGATTCGTGAGCAAATAAGAGAGAACAACGAGAATATGAAGAATCTGATGGAGCGAATCATTCACTTGATTGGAGCATGTATGTGGCTCGTCCACCGCAGCAAAACGCTTCATGGCTTGGAGCATTTTTATTTGCATTGATGATACTTGGTGACTAAATGAATTTTTCCATATTTGTTTATTTCAATAATTTGGTATCATTATATGCACATTGATAATTTGTTTATGCGATATTTATTTATATATTGCATATTTGTGCAATTTTTGTTCCTTAAAATTTGATAGGGAATATTAATCAATATAGAAAATTATATTTAATTAGAATTAAGCATGTATTTTGTAAGAATTTCGGACAAATTTTTGATGAAATTTCATCCTGCAAATCTATTGGAATTGGGAATTTCTTCTGATTTTTGATGGAATATTACTAGAATTTCAACGTCTTTCAAAATATTCTGACATAATATTACGCCAATAAGAGTGAACGAATTCATTTTCTATTTTTCTGATTTTACTTTTTGATAATTCTATTATATAGAGTTATGTTTAACATATTTTGGGGACTTTAGCAACTAGACCTTTGAGTTTTAGGTTCGGATTTGAGTATTTTAGTTTTTTTTCTAAGTTAAATTAGGTTACATGTTGAATAGTTAAATTAAGTTGTTTTAGTTTAATTTTACTTTATTTTGATTTAATTTACATTAAGAAGAGTCGATGTCGATTTCTCTCATGGTTATGTGCTGGATATATGATGATAAAGGTGAAATTGAGTTATGATAGCACAAGTATGGTAAATGTGTTACTTGTACATGCTGCGATAATTTAAAGATAATTTGAGTTGTAGAAATCCAATTGATTTGATTTTTAATTTATTAGAAATCTAAAGAATGAGCTACAACTTTCATGTACTTTGCCCAATTTGGACCAAATCAAGGTGAAAACCACGTCGGAAGATGATAGACAGATGCAGACTACACATAAGACAACATGGTGATTGAAGCCGCAACGCTGAGTCATTCAAGGCCGTGGTGCTGACGGACCACTACCGCAACGCAGAAAGCTTATGGTTGCAACGCTAGGCTGGATGGGTGCATCATACTAAAGGTCAAGAATACAACACTACAGCAATAGAAAAGAAGGGCTGCGGTGCTACCACAGCTTGTCATGAAGTTGCACCACTAAGAAGTTATGGCCATGACACCACCTCGATTTCCATAATTAAAACCTTGATGGAAAATTGGAAAGTAGGGCACCTTTGCACATATTTAAGAGCCTTTTGAGAGCATTCAAAGGAGAGGCAGCAAGCAACAACTCTAAAAATTAGAAGCCAAGAACCAAACAAGAAAACAAAAGAATTTGAGAGAGAATTGAGATAATAAAGCTTCAATAATTAGTTTCTTTCTCTACTTTTGTGTTTCTTTTATTTTCTTCGATTTGAATTCATGACTAAATTTCTTTGGATATTATTTTATTAGTTATTATGAGCTAAATTATCTTTCTAGGATTGTGATAAATTTCAACACGTAATTTGAATATTTGTTTCTCTTTTATTTACTATGAATAGGTATGGTTTTACTTATTCAAATATATTCTTAATACTTTTGATTGTTTGGCCAACAATTAATTGATTTGTGAATCTAATTAAGATTCGACAGAGAGATTTTAGTTTAGATTAAGGTTTATATAGTGTAAGTTCACATCACTTAGGTGATCTGATACGCGATTTGGGTAGACTTAAACCAATTACCATACATAGCCAAATTTGAATAATAGCTTAATAATTTTTATTTAATTAATTCCTATAAATATGTAGTGACCCAATTAAGTTAAGTATTTATGCAGGTATCTCAACGGAGACTTGAACATAACTTTAGGTTTTATGTTAGTAGAACTACCCATGAATGAAAGTAATAAGAGAAGTTAGTATCAGATGAAGTGTTGAATGAACGCATAACCCTAACTTTTTGTTTATTACTTTTTCCAAGTAATTTTAATTTTTGTTAGTTAACTTAGTACTTGTTTTAATTTTTTTTAATTAATTTTATGAAAATTTTAGTTACTTAAATAAGATTAATATGTTATAAATTTTAATACTTAGTAAAGATTTAAGAACAAATTTTCATGAGAATGATACTCTACTTCATCATTATATACTTGCTCGATACGTATATTTATATGTATAAAATCGACAACACTTTTCCAGTAATATTTTTGACAAAATATTTCATTGAAAAAGGAAATTTTTGACAAAAATTACACTTTTCTCGGTGGAAATTTTACTTAAAAAAAAGCTGTTTTTTCTTTTAGTGCAAATGGAACCTAATCATTATAAAGGATTGCTAGATTGCTTTAGAGCAAGTACCAAATAAGATCATAGAAAATTATAAACTTTCTACTTCAATTAGTATTTGAGATCCAACTATTAAAATCAATTTTAAATTTTGGAATTTAAATAATAACCTTAATCTTTGTGATACTTTATCTAAATACTATTTACACACTATTCTTTTGCTTTAAAAAAGAAAATAGTAATTATACACAATAAGCTTTTTCTTTTTTTAATTTTGAGAAAAATCCAAACACACTCATTAAATAAATGACACGTACACTTATTATTAAGCTAAATTCTCAAGTACAGCGCTGGACAATAAGTTTTATACATGCTCACGAAACTTCTGGAAGAAAATGCATTGAAAGCAATAGATAATGTGAACAGAGGAAATACGGAATCCATCAATGGTGACCAAAACAATAGATATCCAACGAGCTCGGCCGTCCACAGTGATTTAATTGATGTCCGGAATGATTGCGTTGTTGAAAGGAGAAATGGAATTGTTGTGTTCAATATAGATACGTGCAGTATGGAGACAGATATTGTCAGGTTGGAAGTACTATAGCATTCTCGAGTTCTACCGTACTGAACCCATGTTATTTTAACTAATCTTTAAGGACTTGTGGGCGCCGAAAATCCATGAGACTTTGACCTAATGCTGTAGCATGTACTAACGCCGTATTGTGATTGGGTATTAATTGACATATACGGAAGTTTAATTTCCTAATCCCCTTGACTGGGGCTTATTAGCAAGGAAAAGGAAAAGATAAAATATACTGCGGTTCATTAAAAAAGAAACGGAAAAGATAAAATATAAGTTTCAATGATTAAGATTCGAAATTAACAATGACGGTACGTATTTGTTGTATATCTCTTTTTCTTTTTTTCTATTGTTTTTTGGCTGAATGAGAATTTTATTTGCCGTAACTATGTCAATTATGAGTAATTAAAGCAAAAATGGTTCCGTGGAGAGTTTGAGCTTTACAATGACAGAGGTTATTGTCATTAATGTTATGAGTTTACATTTAGAACAAGCAAGAAGGAATGGCATGTAAAATCTCACTCGATTTCACAAAACATATTCAGCAAAGTTTTTTTTTTCTTCAATTTTCGACCCAATTAAGACAGTTTACTTGATATACAGATATTTCTGTTGTGCTTGTCTCTTTTGTGGATGATTAGTTGTAAAAGATGATGCACTTAAAGGTATGAATCAAAAGAACAGAAAGGTATTTTGATGTGGAAAGAGAACTTGTGAAAACAAAGAAAACTGAACGAGCCTGCAAGAAAAACATGCAAGATCGATCTAGTTAGAAATAATTATAGGAGCCATGTTAGACATACTAAGATGCGCCTACTCGATGTGGTTTGATAAACGAGAATTTCCAGTGCTGGTAACTGGCAACTTTGTAAGTTTATGCAAATTAAAGCAAAAGACAAAAAAGTTACGTGAAGGGTTTGAGCTTTACAATGATGCCTGTTGTTGTTATTAATGTTTGTCTTTTTCCCATCCTAGGTTAAGAAAGATGCCATATGTTAAAGTAACTAGATTTCACACATATATTTGGGGAAAAGGCCCTTTTTCCTTCGTATCGTCAACCACAGTGAAATAACCAAAATGCAAAGCATGAATTACATTTCACCTATGGGGATTGAGAAAGGCTAGCTTACAGATTTGGAATTAAAGTTTCCAATCTAACTTGGTGTTCTCTAGATTTTCACACCCGCGTACAGTTAAAGCGTGTCATGCCGTTGGTACGGCTGGCTAGCCCTGTTTGACCACATTTGTACCCTGGCACTTCCCCAAAATTGGTCATGTGGTCACACTTGTCGAGATTATTACATTTGTCCTAGTGCTTCTTATTTGAGTGTCTATGTTGTAATAACGCGCATTGAGGACTCCAAAAAACATTTCTTGCTTTTAAATATACTACATAAACTTGAAATATTCACTTTTCTGCAAGAGAAAAGAGCACACAGAATCTTAGCTCGGTCTTCTCCCAAATATCAAATGGAAGTGACATCTCCGGAGCAGGAGAGTGCTGGGCCCTTAACTCGTGGGTGCCAGTGGCTCAAGGCCTTGCCTAAAGAATTTTGTGCTAAAGTAATGGGGATTGCAAGGATGGCGAAGAAACTAGGGCAAGATGATCCAAGAAGGATAATTCATTCCCTAAAAGTTGGGCTAGCGCTTACACTGGTTTCATTGTTCTACTACTTCAAGCCACTCTATAATGGCTTTGAAGACAGTACATTGTGGGCTGTTCTAACTGTTGTGGTCGTTTTCGAATTTTCGGTAGGTAAGTATAGCATTGCTTTTATATTTTGATAATTTTTTTACATGCCACTGCCATTTTTATTTCACTAGAACGAATTTTTTCAGTATTTCGAAATAATTTCATTGTTTCTGTTATCTTTGGCAGGAGCAACACTTGGGAAAGGTTTAAACAGGATGTTGGCAACATTTGTAGCAGGTGCCTTAGGCATTGGAGCTCACTGCTTAGCAACTCTTTCTGGGAGGACAGCCGAACCCATCTTAATAGCAATTTTTGTCTTCATAATAGGTAAATTACATACTCATGATATAGATTACAAAATCGATGCCATTTTCGATATCGAACTGATCATCTTTGTCTCAATATTGGGCCCTTTTTGCAGCTGCAATTGTGACATTTATGAGATTCTTTCCAAGACTGAAGGCCAGATACGACTACGGGCTGTTAATATTCATCTTGACCTTCAGCCTAGTATCTGTATCAGGTTATCGAGATGATCAAGTGCTAAAAATGGCCCATCAGAGGCTATCAACAATCATAGTTGGTAGCTGTATTTCGGTCATTGTTTGTATTTGCATTTGCCCAGTTTGGATTGGTGAGGATCTCCACAATTTGGTCGCTGCCAACATGGAAAAGCTTGGGAATTTTTTGGAAGGTACAAAATCCAATATTATTGAACTCCGATGAACTACTGCCATATGCTTAAAGAATGATTTTGTTATTTTAATCCCTCCCACTGCCAAGCAAATATTCCCTATTCCCTTTTTTTAGTTTAGTTTTTGTGGTCAAGTCATACTCACTGAGTAATTCAATGTACACAAACAGCTTTTGGAGATGAATACTTTAAAGTATCTGAAGAGCCCCAATCCAACGTGAACAAGTCATTTCTTCAAGGATATAGAAGTGTTCTAACTTCTAAAAGCGGTGAAGAAACAATGGTAAGTGACCAGCTAATATAATTCTGTCTCCCCCACATTTAAGGCATTACTTGAATTCATTGAACTAGCTAATTCAATTAAATTTCCATACTCTCTCTGCAGGCTAATTTAGCAAGATGGGAACCAGGTCATGGTCCGTTTGGGTTCCGTCATCCTTGGAAAATGTACCTAAAACTCGGAAATCTTACTCGGGAATGTGCCTACAAAGTTGAAGCACTTAACAGCTACCTTAACTCTAAGATCCAGGTATGTAACCAAAATCAATTTCACCAAATTTTTAACCTCAAACTACAATTTACACAAATCCTAACCATCATTCTCTTCATAAACTTAATTATCTGCTTTTATTCTTGCAGACTCCTGCGGAAAACCGTGGCAAAATTCAAGGGCCAAGCGAAAAGGTTAGCCACGAATCTGGCACAGCTTTGAAGGAACTGGCGTCCGCGTTTAGGAAAATGGTTCGGACAAGATCAGCTATTCTGCACATTGCCAGCTCGAAAACTGCAGCTGAAGAGCTCAAAAACCTCCTCAAACAAAGCGTTTGGGGAGAAGCAGATGTACTAGAGATTATACCAGCAGTTTCAGTTGCTTTACTTCTACTAGAAATCATTGAATGCATTGAGAAAATTGCGGAAGCCGTATATGAATTGGCCAAGGTCGCATCCTTCAGGAACAGAGATGCTACAGTCTCGCCCGAACGGCCAGATTTGCTCCACCAGGGAGCAGTCCAGCAAGTTTCTGACATTGATATGCCACATCATATTATTACTATTGCGGAATAAATATAAAGAATTTTGTGAGAGTAGTTGAAAAACTTTATGGAATGGTGATAATTAAAGTATCTTAGCTTCCAAGAAATATTATTAATTTAATTGTTGCATACATACGGAGCCAATGGGGATGCCATCCGAAGCTCCCCTTGTAGCTTTCCTTAGGCTAAGGTTAGATTAAAAACTGGCCCCTCAAACAATCTCAACATAAATATCTTATTAAAATTTTCTTTCTTTAGTTTTGCTGGTTTCTTTCATTGTCATCAGGTCCTGTGTTTTGCACTTGGTTCTTTATGTCTGTTAGGTACTTCTCTCTAAGTCTGGCAAGATGATGACGGCATGTGTCTGCATACTGCGTACATTGCCGATGGACTTGTCCTAGTTTTTTTTGTTATGGCGTTGGAATATTCTTATTCCACATAGCTAAATAAAAGTATTTTCATAACTCTCAAGCTCACTCCTCTCCGAAATTTATTTACAAACACCTTTTCATTTATTGCTCCCCATATAGACCACAACGTAGCCCCGCATATAATTATCCAATGTAGCCTTCACTCCATTTGTTCAGCTACATAGGTAACATGCTCAAGAAATTTGGAGATTGAGTTCAACACACACATCATGGTACCCTACCATTTCATAATATCACCCCACAGATTTCATATCCACGTGCCATTAAGAAGAATGTGATTACCTTCATGAAAGCAGGCGCCACACCACAGACACATGCACTCCCCATTTGGGATTTGCCATCCTCAAGATACAAGGAAGCTCTTTGTATTGGTGCAAATGGGGTTTAAATGGAATTTATGAAAGCAATAAAATTAACTTCAAAGCGAATCTTTCAATAAAAGATATTTATAAAATTTATTTCACCCCTACCACTCCGTATGAAAAAGGAGAATTATGCAAATAGCTTTGGATAAAATGAAGCCAAATTCTAACTTTATCTTTGCATTTTATAAAAGTAGACTACTAAATACATATGATGGTTTGCAAAGTTGTTCAGTTTTAGAACTTACTTTCTACAACAAGTATATTATAAAAAATTAGATCCCTTTAATAGATGATGGGAATTCAAGTATTTATATTTATTTTCTTAACCTAACACTTCTATTGCTCTTGATTTTTCTACTCTTGTCTTGTTTATTTTTTGGTATGTCAAAATAGTTGGCAACAAGTCCTTTATATAGGCTTACAAGTGTCTCTTCTTAAAGACACAATCTGTTCATCAAGGCTCCTCTTTGTCTTAAAGATATATTTACATTTTGCAAGACATAATCCTTAGATAAAGGTATTGTTTTAATAATCACCTCATGGAAGGACATACATTTATTCTATAAGACATAATTTTTGAGCTATAATATGAAAAGATAATTTTTCATATCTAAACTTTTGAACTGTAATATTTTTCCAATTGGCTCATAACATTTGGATTTAAAAGTGTTTCCAACATATCATTTTACTAAAAGACATAACTATTCATAAGAAAATATACCTATAATTCAATAGTCACACAATGTGACATAACCTTTGAGCTATAATAGCTTTTCATATGAAGAGATAACCTTTTATTTTGAAAATACACTAACAATCCCCCACCATTTTCAAAATTTTCAAATATCAATAACTTTGGGAATCTTATATATAAATTAAGGTATCCTACGGATTTGAGCTTTCACGTAGTGAGTGTGGTTGGTTCGAGTCCTAATTGAGTTGTTGGCCAAGCATTAAACCATTGATTTTTCATTTGGCTAGTTGGGCCACTAAACACCCACAAGCTTCATTATTCACTTTGTATCTAGTTTTGCCAACACATTTTTTATGGCCTTATGGTTTACATCCATCAATGAGTGTTGTCAGAGTCAAGCTTTTAGCTCTTGGAAGCGGCCACACTTCCACTTACATTGGTAACCCCCATTAGAAGTATCTCGTAATTATAATACTTCAACATATACATCTTATGGCTCTATTAAGAATTTTTGTTCAACCTTACTTTACATATTACGAGAACTAAGCACTATACACCTCAGGATGGAAAATATAAATTAGTGCCTGTAATTATCCATGGTTAGTATCCAAGACTTACAGGTCGGCCACAAGCACCAAGGTGAGCTCCCACCATTGGAAATTTAATTGATAGGCTAGAGACCCATCCTTTTTGAGGCATTTATTGTCAAGTCCTTTTTCAAAACTTTGGTAAACAAATATGCTAAGTTTTCACAAGACCTCCAATAACTTATAGTGACTATACCATTGCTAAATTTTTGTCTTACAATGCTATGTCAAAGTCTAATATATCAATAATTTTCATTGTATGCTTGATTATATACCTTTGATACTGTTGCTTTATTGTCACAATGTATCAAGATTGGTGTCATTAGTTTTGTTGTCACAATGTATCAAGATTGGTGCCATTAGTTGAAGCCATAATGAAATTTCATAGAGTAAATCTCTTAACTATTTCGCTTCTTAGGTGGTAGAAGTTAAGGCTATAAATTCAACTACCATGGTGGAATCCATTTGACAATATTGTTTCTTAGAACCTTAACAAACAACACCTCCACCAATTGTAAAATTCCAACCAGTCAAAAAAGTATAATCCATTCTATTTGAGTTCAAACTTGTATCTGTATACCCTTTTAAAACTGAAGGAAAACTTGAATAACAAATGCCATAATTCATTACACTCTTTGAGTACCTTAAAGGTCTATGAACAATATACCAATGTTCTTTACTTAGATTACTTGTTAACCAACTTAGCATCTCAACCACAAAAGCAATGTCTAGCTATGTACACGCCATAGCATAAATTAGGTATTCAATCACCCTTGAATTTTCATTTTGTGATATTGGCTTGTCATTGTTAGGTACTAGCCTTAGATTAGAATCACGAGGCATAGATATTGGCATATAATCTGACTTACCATACTTCATTAGAATCTTTTCAATGTAATGAGATTGAGACAATATTAGGCTGTTATTAACTTTCATTATTCTTATACCAAGAATAACATCCACCATACCCATATTTTTCATGTCAAAATTCTTTAACAAAAATCTTTTTGAGTCTTCCACTTGTTCCAAATCGATACTAAAGATTAACATGTCTTCCACATATAGACAAATAATGACTGCTTTACCATTATGGAACTTATTATAAACATATCTGTCAGATTGATTTATTTTGTAGCCATTAGCTAACATAACCTCATCAAACTTTTGATGCCATTATTTAGTTGTTTGTTTTAATCCATATAAGGACTTTACAAAATTATGCACTTTCCTTTCTTGACCATGAAAGATAAATTCTTTGGGTTGTTCCATATACACCTCTTCATCTAATTTACCATTTAGGAATGTTGTTTTAACATCCATGTGGTGAATTATCATTTTAGGTATAGATGCAAGTGCCATAAGCACTCTAATTGTAGATATTCATGCTATTGATGGATACGTATAAAAATAATCAACACATTCCTTTTGTTTAAAACCCTTGGCCATTAGCCTTACTTTAAACTTATTTATGGTTCTATCAATTTTTATTTTCTTTTTATAAATCCATTTACAACTTATTGGCTACAGAAGGTCTACCAATTTTCAAGGTTTGTTTCCTATTATTAAGTCAATCTCATCTTGTATTGCTTTTCTCCAAAAGGAAACATCTCAAGACCTTATTGTCTCTTTATAAGTTTGAGGAACACCCTCACCTTCTACATTAAAGCAGTAGGATAAGTATTCACATGTTTCTTCTCTTGTAGCTTCTACCAAGTACATGAAGAAATTAGATCCATGTCATTGCTTTTCTAGTTTTTTTGCTTTTTCCAAGCTTAATAGTTTCCTCATTATTTTTTTGGAAGGTTATCACTTTCCGTTGCAAGTTCTTTGGGTCTTAGAATTGAATTGAACCTTGTTTCATGAACAATAGCATCCCTTGATTTTACGACGATATTAATGGAATATGAGTCATTAGGCTCTATCACCATGAAACAATATGCTTTATTATGTTTATCATATCCTATGAATATACATTCAATTTCTTTTTCTTTGGTTATGGAACTTTTACTATAGCTCGACATCCCCAACTCTAAAATAATTAAGGTTTAGCTTTTTCTTTTTCATAATTCAACTGATAAAAAGTAATTTTTCTCCTTTTGTTAGGATTCTATTTAGTATATGGCAAGCCATTAATAAGGCTACACCCTAAAATCCTTTTCCCAAACATGAATTAAAAAGTAAAGTATTGATTATTTCTATAAGAACTTGATTCTTACGTTCTATTACACATTTTGTTCTAATGTATATGGAGTAGTAATCTCATGAATAATATCAGTGGACTTAAAATAATTGGGATCATAATATTTACCTCCTCTATCACTTCGTAAACTTTTGATAAGCAATCCACGATGCAATTTAATTTCACTTTTATAGATTCTAAACTTTTCATTACTTCATCTTTAGCATGCAATAAGTAAACATAGCATTATCTAGAGAAGTTACTTATAAATGTTACGAAGCTTTTTTTTTTCCAGCAATAGATGCAGTACTATGCATATTACAAACATCGAAATGTATTAATGTAAACAATTTGGAGTTTCTTTCAACCTTAGGAAATGAGCTTCTTATGATTTTAGTAACTATGCATGTCTTATACATATCATCATTTCCATCAATATTAGGTATTAACTCTAATTTAACCATATTATGCATTCTTCTATAATGGATATGACCTAATCTATTATGCCATAGATTAGACAATACTACTTTACTATCATGAACAGTAATGAGGCATCAATACAAGTAGAACTAGTAGCTTTTTTATTAATATTAAGCTTGAACATGTCTTCACATAAGTATTCACTTCCAACATATTGTCTACCTTTTGTAAGGATGAACTTATCCACCTCAAATGCTAATTTGAAGCCATACTTATTCAACAAGCTATCTAACACAAGATTCTTCCTAACTTTTGGTACATAATAGACATTGTTTAGTACAAGTACTTTTCTAAA